GATGGCCGAGGCAGTAGTTCAGATACCCCACATTCACATTCCACCAGGTCCAAAAAACGACCAAGCGTTTTCCCGCCGCTTAGGAAAATAGGTGCTGTGCTGGTTCCATGTTCAGTTAGGGACACCAGCAGCCAGCGGAGCGTTATCCTGGGCTTTCCTGTAAATAATTCAACTGAAAAATTCATAAAGCTGCGCCTGCGACACGGCTATCTGCGCAGCTTTCCCGTTTTTTGTTTGCTGTTTTCTTTAATTGTTTAAAGAATAAATCACCAGCCATAGAAGTAAGTTGACAACACCACACGAAATAAAAACGAGCGAGACATGCACGAAAATAGAGCACTGGTATCTACGGAGCTGGAAAGCCATGAGCGGCAGGAGAATGGTTTTGGAGAACGGTTTGGTTTCGGGCAAGCGTCGAGCGTCGAGCGGAAGCGGAACTAACAAAGCACAAAACGAAACAAAAATTTCCACCGAAAAAGCGAAACTCAGCTACGAAAGCGGGGGAAGTGGAAAGCAAAAAGAAAAATAACCCACGAAGGGAACGGAAAGGCAAAATTGGCAAACTAAAACTTTGCTGCAGTCACGGCACAAAAAAAATCCAGCAAATGCTGTAGAAACAACTAAGAGGGCTTTGGTGGGGCGGCGAGGAAGACGAGGGAGGCGAGGGGGCGAGGGCGGCACGGCAAAGGACGAAAATGTAGTGACACACTCACACACACACACACACATCCAAATAATACCTTGGCGATGGCCGGGAAAGTTTCGTCCGTTCGGCCTGTAACAAGCGTGGCAAAGCACAAAACAATTTACGAAAATTTGTACAATTTCCAAACTTAAATAAACACCGAGAATAGTTTTATTTTTATTATAACTGCCACGATTTTTCTGGGCCCCACCAGCACTCGCACACACATAAAAGAAGGGTCGAAGGGATGGACGCCTTAAATATTTCGTAGCATACTTACGAGCGACTTGGAGTTCGCACCCGTTAAACGGGCTGTCGACAGCGTTGTCCCTGCTCCCAGCTATCTCCTCACTGCTCTCTGGGTGGCTTTAATTAGGGATAAATGGGCAGCGACTGCCCCTCGTGGGCCCGCGTCAAGTTCAAGAAACTGTCCTCGCAGACACGCAATGGCTCGGAATAATTCAGATGTGGCCAATGCACTTTTCAGCGGTAAATTAACAGGCGCAAAACTCAAAGTTATGCCGTCGCTGTGGGGGCTGCAGGGGCGCGGCGTGCCTAAATTGAAAAAGTTTTTCAACTTGCAAGTTTCTTTCGCTCTTAAATGTTGTGAACAAGTCCCAAGAAAGGATTTGCAGCACCCCCTCGGGCAAACAAACAAGTTTCGAGCACACTGCGCGACTGTGACCTTAGGCATATATCACGGGTCCCGGTCACTGCAAGTGTGTTATATGTCCAACATACATATTCAGTGCGTGGTGTGTGCAGCTTGACTATCTTCAGTTGATAACTTGTCTGTAAGTGAGAGCATTAATTTTGAGAAAGTTATTCACATTTGATAGAAAGATAACTGTTGGTGAAGTGTCCTCCAGACAGCTCTTGAAAATCGACTGGGGATGATAAATAAAATAATATATATACACAGTTAAACATTAGAAGAGTTTAACCAGTATTGCTTAAACGCTTTAATTTATTCCTTAAATGACAATTGCACATTCGCTCTTGGCGGGCGGCCGGACAATCGTCAATTATTAAGAGCGAGTCAGAGGGCGCAGGAGATTTCTGTAAATAAAAATAGCGCAAATTAAGGGCATTCAAGTGCAACGCAGCGGAAACGGAAATGTGCGCAAAACAATTACCAGTGCACGAGAGAGGCAAATGACCACACACGCTCATCAGCACACAGATACATGGCATTACACTGTTACTGCGTTGTCTGCACTTAAAAAGGCGAAATTTATATAATGTCCGTTTTTATGCGGGCACTCAAGTGCAATCAAAATGCGTAACGTGGAATTTCCATTTCGAATTGCTGGTGGCATGGGGGAGGAGTAGGCTGACCCGCTCGTCCACAATTCAGCCACGAAATGGACATTGTTATGGCTTGCTGCCGCATTTATGCCATTTGTATTGCAATTCCGCATAAATAGCTTGGCCCCTGAAATCCGAGGTAATCCGAGTGGGCATGACTAATGCCATCGACTGGTCAAGGCCGGAGTTAGCCGGAATAATTATCTAATTTCCTCGCTTTATCTGTAATCGTGTTAATTACGAATGCTAATTAAAAAGCCAACCAATGCTGGCGCCCCCATTCACTGCAATTTAAGCATAATTTCCAAGCCATAGTTGGTGGTTATTTTATTGGTCCAACTCTGCCGCTCAGTGAGGTTAAAAGTCGTTGAACATTGTGGAGGTAAGCCGAAAATAAATCGATTAGGTGTTCATATCTAGAACTAATGTCTAAAGTACTAAATACTTATATTTATTGGCTAGATTGTAGTCTCACTTCAAGGAGGCTAGTTATCAGCCAGGAAAAGATATTTACCCATTAAACCTATCGTAAATCAGATCGATTTTTTAACCCCCACAAATTTATCTGATCGTCCAAGGGCAACATAGCTCTGATCTGTATTGCGAATTATTGATTATTGCTCATAAGAATTTAAATCTCGGCAACAAGAAGATGTTTCATTTATTTCCGTCAATTGATCAGTATAATAGAGCTACGCTTTATCTCTATTAACAATGACAGTCATTTTTAGATCCACTTGTTCAACATTTGTATTCTCTATCCAGCTTGTCTGTGATACTAACTATATAGAGGTATTGACTGTAAGACACAAGTACCTCCTCTTTTGGATTAAATAATACATTTAGCCAGTCTTTTGAAATAGGCATGGCCTGAGGGAGCGGGGGAGCTTGTCAGAGCACATCAATCATACGCCAGGGTGACCACCTCTTAGTTTCCTAGGGCCAAATCCCCGAATAAACATTTTAATAATTCACTACCCTTCGCAATTACTGTCAAGCATAATACACGGTCCTTTGCCATCTCTATCCTGCAGGCTCCTGTGGCTCCCACCGCTCGTATGTGAGGGAGTGCGGACCCCCAGTATGTTGGCAGGCCGTTACATTTGCCATAGCGTGGCCAAACGGCTGAAATAACAGTATGTCCGGGCCCATCGCACCATCGCAGTGCATTATGCAACGATCACGAGGGGTCCACAGCCACATCCCCATGCACATTCCCAACCAGGGAAACGGCCACTGCTATCCGCAGTTAGAGCCAGAGCCGAGTCAGATGACAAGCTAAACAAAAGCTACAAAATGAAGTATGAGGTCAGCAGCCAAGGAAAACAAAACAGAACGAAGCACAAAGGAAAGGAAAAGCACATGATTGTCGCTTGAAACTTGAGCCACAGCAACTAACCTCATGACATCAGCTTTTTGGTTTGCAACTTATTACAATTTCCATATAACCTCCGAGCGCCAGAAGAAAACAGGCAACGTAGGCAGCGCGGTGTGGGGGAATGCACACAAATGCGCACTTGCAATGGGCGGAGGGAGTGGCTGGGAAGCACGGCGGAAAAACAGAAACAGAAACAGAAAGAGTGAAAGGACTGGGTCCGGTTGGGTAGAGAGAGAGAGGAAACCGACTGAGACTGAGGCTGAGGAGGCAAAGGCAAATGCCATGTCCTTCAGCGCTTGCCCTCGCAAAGGCAAAGGCAAAGGCAAAGGCAACGGCAAAGGCAAAGGCAATGGCAACGGCAAACTGCTGTGGGGGTCTTTAAGTTTTATGGCACCATTGTGTCAAGATAATAATACGTACGTCGCTGTGTGTGTACGTGACTGCATTTAAGTGCATAGTTGTGTAGAACAGCACTCGCCTGGCACTCGTACTCGCAATCGCACTCGCACTCGCACCAGTACTCGGAGAATACGGATACATAAACAAGCATTCCTCTGGCATGACATTTACTCTGCGAATTACTCTAAACTGCTGCATTTGCGATGCGATATGCGGACTGCGAGGGCGAAAGAAGCAAATAACAACTGCTGGCCTCCCCTGGAAGCCCTCGAAGCCCTCGAAGTCCTCAAAGCCCAGTCGTATTATCAATTTAAATGAATTGCACACGAGTGTGCCATAAATTCGGGCCGTATGACATTTGCTAATGTTTGGCCATGAGAGCAGTGGCGTTAATTAAATACCATAGCATACTTGCGGGCCGCTGCGCAAAATCAGAAATTCGGAAATTGAGCAGAGAAGCGGGAGCTCAGAAAGCCACATAGTTCTGTAATTAAAATGAGCAAACGCTCGGCCATTCTGCGGCCGAATTTCAATTTTAATTTATGTGCACATCGCTCCACGAAATGCGGATTCATTGGCGCTATTTGCGCGGCAAGTTGAATAAACTTTGCCGCAGCAAAGCTCCATGAAGATATAAGCATCGACGCAGATATAAAAACTTATAAAATGTAAGCAATAATAAAACCAGACATAGAACAAAGACCGCGCTGCGATAAAAATTATGACAAGCCACAAAACTTTGACGAAGTTGCCAGTGCCCTCCGCTTTTTATGCGTCCCAGCATAAAAATTTAAATAAACTCACTCACGCGTGCGGCCAAATAAATACAAATTTATGGAAAACTCTGGCCAGAGGTCCGCCAGGGCAATTGTACGACCATTCGAGCAGTGGCCATTATGCATAATCTCGGACAGGGTCCGCACTCCCGACCATCCTAGCACCCCCAGTCATCGCTGACCTATAAATAATGTGCCAAATTAGCTTGAACAATAAATAAATTTCATTCTATATGTAAATGAGTCGAAATACCCGAGATCTGTGGGGATCTAGGGGACGGCAGCAAGTATGTATGTATGTACGTTTCGAGAAGGAGTCCGATCGAAGCGAATTGTAATTTTAATTAGGCTCTGTACTGCTACACACATATTTCTCACATATTTAATTCCCAGAAATTGTTGTTTATCCGGCCATCTAATATTCATGCAGTTTTATCCACTCTTATCCTTACAGCTCGCTGCACAGAGCCCTACACAAAGCGAGGTCCTCCAGAACATTACATTAGAAACGATTCATCATCGCCGCCACGCCACGGCACTACGCTTCTGTCATTGTCCTGGGCGGAGGGAGAAGGCAGGCGGAACAGCCACTACAGCAAATTGAATGTAATTTCATAAAAAGCGAGTGTTAATTTTTTGCCAGTCCCACAATACAAGATAGATACAGCCAGTGATACACGGACCCCTGCTCGGCTTAATGTGCTAACACGCAGTGACATGAAAAATGATGGAGAGCATGCCGCCTCTGTCCCCTCCCCGCCGCTAGAGAAGAAAGCCCGAAAGAAAGAAGCGCGCGACGAGCTGCAAATTTGCGACGAGCGGCAGGAGCAAGGCTGAGGAGCATTGTAACTCGCAGGACAACAGGCCGACAGCAGACAGAAGCATCGCATTGACGGCAGAGACAGAAGGCAAAAAAAGACAGCGCTGCACATTGGACCAGCATCATTTATCAGCGACGCATCGCACCCAGCTAGCAGCACCAGCTCCGACAGCTCCGACAGCCCCTCCAGCCCGCCTGGGCATATGTGTGCACCGGAATGGTGGCATTGTGTTGCTGCCGCAGCTGAAAGGATCCTGAGCGTTCATTCAAAAAGCCATTAACCCTAATAAGCAGCCACAACAGCCAGGCGAACAATACCCATCGATGTGCCTGCCCCCTCCCCGGTTGAAGACACCAGGACAGCAGGACACCAGGACCCAGGACCCAGGACACTAGGACACAGGCATAGGCAGTTTGCCGTAGCTGGAGGAGAGCTGCAACAGGGCAGTCACAGAAGCGGAACAGAGAGAGATACGAGAATGGTGCCGCCACGGCTGCTGCTGCGTCTGCGGCGACCTCTGCACCTGATGGAACTGCGCATCCTGCTGCTCTGTCTGCCAACGCTGCTCCTGGCCACCACCCTCGAGCCAGGTGCGTTCAAGATCTCCTTGCAAGCTATTTTCCTCCTCACAGAATTTAATTAGGGCTACTCCATCGGCCGTGGGCACTCGTAGGGCCAGAGCTGGCGAGAGGCTTTGTGAAGTGCTAAGTAAATTAAGACTAAATTTATGCGGCCCTCTTCGCCCAGTCCAATCCACGGACTCTTCCGATTACCGCACAGAGTCCTCAGCAGTTTATTTTATTATTTTCACAAAGCCAACAAATCGTTACAAGCTCCGGGAGCCAGAGCTGCTCGCCAGGCCCACAATTAAAGCCCCTTAACGTGACCGGCGCGAAACTTTGCCAATTTTCGGATTTATTATGCCAGGAATTTTATTATCATCTCTGCGCCGGCTTATTCCGCCTGGCAGTGTGCTAAGCATACACCTGCGGCGCAAAACTTTATTTCGGAATATATATTTTTATAGAAAAGCAGTAGGCAGTTCTTGTATGTACATATATATATATATAGGAATGCATAAAATTGCAATCCATTTCGCAAATGGAATTCAACCGAGCGTGGGCAAAAGCAGAGGGAAACCAGGATCAAAGGTGACAGCTTCCAAGCACTCTCGCAGCAATTGCAGTTCAAATAATTCCTAATTTTTCGTTCGACGATTGCTGCTCAAATAATAATTATTAATTTTCGCTTGCGCCGTGTTGCGTCTTGACCTTCCGCTAATTTACTTTAAATGGACGACGTTCCGCGGCAACGAGCCACGCCCAAGGCACTCACCTCGGGTGCCCCCTATGTGTACGTCACGTATACGCATCGTTAGAGCGCCTAAGTTATGGCCAACACGTAACATTCACAAATAATAAGGATAATGAAAAATACACAGGGGAAAGATTAGCACCGAGGGCGACCCACCTTGTTGATGGGCCGCGCTGTTGCTGCCCTTGCGGCTTTGGTTTTGACCTGGGGCGCCACGCAAAGTCAAAGTCGAGCTCGACCCGAGCTCCTGCCTTAGTTTAGTTGTAATTTTTTGTTTCTTGTTTCCACCGCTCTCCATCGGCCAAACGCGTTACGCATAAATTATCCGCCGCGGCGGCAACGACGGCGACACCTTATCGAAACGCGCGGTCCGCTCATTACGCAGCCTCCTGGAAAGGCGGGGGCGGGACACTTTGCAGGCGAAAGAGCAAACTGAGCTCGCGTGACAGTGCAAAAATTGAAAATTTATTGCGACGCCTTGTGGCTTGAAAATCGTTGTCGGAAGAAACTTTTTAAATTGACTTTTAAAGTGCAGAGCACACTGTGGCGGAAAGCGTGGTGTGCCGAGGATGGGGTGTGAAAATATGCGTGGACTCAAGGAGGAAGGCGGATCTCTCTTCAGTCGGAATGACGAAGCGCTTATACCCTGGCCTGTGCCGAGCTGGATTAATTTCAGCACCATGATTTTCCCCAAGTCGGAGTTTTCCGTAAGCGTGTTTGCACAGATTCGACTTCAGGTCCTCTAGCTGACAACCCGATCCCATTCAGCCGGGCCAAGGGCTTCCTCAGACGCACTCCTCTGGCTTCTCTGGCCAAAAACATCATTGTCGAAGTGAATGCCTGAAAGCAGGCAGGGTGGAGTCCGACTGTGTGTCTGTGCCACACTTGCTCGGGGCTCAAGGTCGCTCCAGCACACGCACTCCGTCGGGCACAAACAAGGGACTAACACTGATATTTTCCAACAGATTTTCCATTTTCCTCTCGCCTTTCACCTTGTCCTCGTCCCCATTCCCATTCCCATTCCTATTCCCATTCCCATCCCCATCCCCATACCCATCCCCGTTCCAGTCGCCGCACTCGTTCTCCTGATTCAAGTGCAAATGAGTTTGAAGATGATGGCCCTGGGTGAGGGCGTGGTGCACATCGCTGTCAGCTATTTCGCAAATTTGCTTAGCGGTTTTAAAATTAAGCTCATGGCGCATATGAGGTGAGGCCAGGGGAGCGATCTCTCACCCGCACACGGAGACAGGGTCTCAGGTTATGGGTTATGGGTTACGGCTCCCCAGGACGCGCGGAGCCAGGCAGCTTAGAGGGGCTAAGCACTCCTGCCGGGTGGGCAAAGAGCGTCGACTTAAGCAGATTTGGGGATTAACACTCGCACAACCACACACTGACGCACCCAGTGCCAACATATTGGCTGGGAATTTAAATATTACGTATACGCCACCGCGGAGCAAGAGACGCTGGCGGAGACGGGACGGAGACGGAGACGCCGACAGCGCGCTGACTGCGACTGAGACAGATAAATAATAATTTGAAACATGACAAGTGCGCACAACTACAGCTACGAGGACGACAAGGACGACAAGGACGATAACCAATGTGTCGTGACTGCGGGCCATACAACTTAAGAGGTTGGGGGCGGGGCGAGAGATTGACAAGAAATATTTATTATTAATAATAAACATGCGAGCATGCCAGACGCACTTGCTGACTTCATTATTTATCGCTTTTTAGCGGTGGGGCGCCCAGAGTGGCCGAATGCTATGAAAAATGTGATGAACCGAACGAAACGAATTGAAAACGAAAAAGAAGACGAAAACTTGTGTTTGTGCGTGAGTGTGTGTGTTTGCGGCGCTTTTTGCTCCTTTGGCTGCGGCATTCGGTTAGCCCAGAAATGAAGCTCGAGCGGAGCGATTCGCAAAGTGGGTGTTGCGGCGACCTTTTTCTATTGCTTTTTGCGCAAGTTTTATTACAGTTGCCTACTTTCAGGCATAATATAATTCACACGCCTAAGCCGCAGGCAGCTGACATGCGCACGTACTGCCGGCCGGGAGTCGAACAGGATGCGTTGAAATACGCGGCTTTAGCCATTTTATTAGCAGTGCGTGTTTTTTCACTATTATCGCGTTCGGCCTCCGCACCCACCCCACCACCGCCTCCGTGCCACCGCCACACCACACCCCACTTGACCTTAGGTCCAGAGAGCTCCCGGCAAGCAGTTCGTTGGCTTTGTGTCTCGAGCCGAGCATTTACATTCCTTTTAACATCCGCAATCTATTTCCACTTGCACTTGCCCCGCCACCAGAGCCAGAGCCAGAGCCAGAGTCCCCGTGTGCGTGTGCGTGTGCGATTACATGTGTGGTCCTGTCATGCATACAAATGCAGAGATAAAGAGTGTTCCTTGTGGTGGTGTGCCTGGCCAAGGAATTTGTGTTTGTCTGTGCGCCGAAAGCGACCTGACCCGTCATAAACCGCGTCGCCTCAAGTGGACTCGCCTTTGTCCGTGGGCTTTCTCCGCTCGATTTGCCTGGCCCAAGTATTATTAATCGTTGGAACTGTCTCAGCAAATGGCTATCTGGCTTCTGGCAAGGCTAGCGAGTTGGGAGCACATTTAAAATCAATGCAGCATGGCCGAAAACTTTGACGTCACTGCGGACTCGGCCACGAAAATAACACGGCGCTAACAAATGACACTCCGAGCCCCATACGTACACACACCCAAGCCCAAGCCCAAGCACAAGCAGAGAGAGACAGGATTGTGGCATTGCATACGCATGCCTAAAGTATGAACTATAAAAATTTACGAGGCAATAAAAGTGTGAGCTCGCTTCGCTGTGTTTTATGGCAAGAACCGGAGCCGGGCAAGGACGAGGGGCACATACTTGCCTGCAGACAACGACATTGCGCATTTCGGGTTTCGATTTCTTCTTCGATTTTTCGCCTTGCGCACAACAAATAACAAATGGCAGAGCTCCCCTGCAGGGGTTTTTGCATTACGTCCGCCTGATTGATCGGATAAATTTTGTTTTACAGCCCACTTGCCTACAGGTTGGGGCCTATAACAGCAGCTCCACCTCCAAGCCCCCACATCCTTTAAGGCTGCAAGGACGCAGCGCGAAGCGTAAAAGTAAAGTAAAGCGCAGTCCGGCGTAAATTTAATTTCGACTGGCAGTCGGCCAGCTGCACTACTCAGCCGGGTTGCCTGGGCAATCTAAGTTTCCTAATTAGTCGTGGGAGGTAGTTGTAGTGATTAAAAATAAGATTGGCCTGCGTTGGGCACTGGGCAAATTGATAAAGTCGGCATATTAGCTGCTACTTGAGCTGATATTTTGAGCAGAGATTCGGATAACAGATACCGCGTGAAAAGTTTTCCCAAGGAGCTCTTCAAGAAATTAAATCTTTCACCGAAACGGAAAGAGTCTTCTCCGCCAACCCTTTAATTTAGCTTTTGTCATTAACTGCGATGAAGCAATGGGAAAAATCTTTAAACTGAACTGAAGGAAAACGAAATTATATCCCCGACAGGGGAGTCTATTTAAGTGCCTTGCCTAGCTTTTAATGCCTGCCAGGAGCAGGACGGGTTGTCCAAACAAACAGACAGACGGAAAGGCAAATTAAACACAAAGAGCCTTACCTAAGCCGTGTTAGTGTGCGCCCGACAAGTGGGCAGATCGATAAAGGCCGTGTAGCGGCAATAATCATAAATAACACGCTGGGCACGTCAATCAAGAGCTTTATTATTTCAACAGGCTCAGATTTAGGGACTGGGTGGAGTGGATAGGGGAAGTGGGGGTGGGGACTGTGGCCGGGGATGAGATTGGATTGCTCAATCCCGAGGCCAATCACATCCATTTGGCAACTGCACAACCCCAGACACTTTTGCTGATTGCATTCGAATCAAGGCAATCCGATTTGAGGGCCAGAAGATGGGAACCAAGCCGAACTTTAACACGATTTGCCACTGCGAATGCACTCACCACTCCGCAGATGCCTTTGTCTAACGCTGCTGCTCTTTCTCTGATTGCAGATCAAAAGTCAATACTCACAGATAACGACTGGAAGAAGCTGTGGATGCGCGGCGGCATGAACGCCGATTCAAAATTGGATAATAATCTCGACTCGAGCGACAGTCCAATGTTCGAGGATAGTGAGGTAAGTCCCGATGACAGATTGCCCCCTGGCCTGTCCGACCGATTGCAATGAACTGTTATTCGATTCGGATTCAAATTGAATCGGCTGCGAGCGCAGCTGCTACGTGACGCGGTCCTGGCCGCAGCAAAGACAGTGGTCACTGCAGGAGCAGGAGCAGGAGCAGATGCAGGAACAGGAGCCTGTCCCAGCCCATCAATATGTTAATGCAGCCCCCGAAAAATGCAGCGAAAACGGATCGGAGCCAGTCGGGATAACACTAATTACCAGCCATCGTAGAAGGCGCGCTCCGATTCGGATCTCTGCTCCTGCGCCGGGACTAATTAATCTTTAGTGCTTATTTATAATTCATTCGCGCTGGCTTCGAATCTAATTATCCAAATAGCAAGCACGCCACAACCGTCAGACATCCGGACCTCCTGCACATCGTCCTCGCTGTCCGGACAGCTCTGACCCTGATGTATTATATGCCCTGGGTCCTTCGCTCTGGCTCCGGCTCCGGCTCCGACTCCTGGCTCTTGGATCCTGGACTCTGTTTTGCGGACTAATTGTGCGACTCGGGCGCGTTTTAAGCCCTCCCCACCCTGATACCGTAAAAAAGAACTTTTAACTTTTTGTCTTGTGTTTTTTCTCTCTCTCCCCCATTGCTCTCCGTCTCCTTTTCCAACAGCTGATGGCGCACAACACAACCGTCCAGCTGGGTGGCACCGCCTTTCTGGTCTGCAAGGTCTCCGGCGTGGACAGAGTGGGTGTAAATTGGGTTTGTTTTTGTCTCTCTAATTGTACCTCGTCGAACCACGTCGTCGTAGACTGCGACGACATTCCTCAGTTGTGTTCCTTGCTTTTCAATTCGCTTTTTCTCAACGTGCACGAACTGGTCCTCATTGTCCTGTCCCACTCCACAGCCATATCCGAATGCGAAAAGCGTTCACCCCACACTTGGCATCCCGCACACTAAATCCCCAAAGTCCTTGCATGGAAAGCGCTTTGTTTAGTGGCTGCAAAATTGAATTCTATCCGAGCCCAGCGCGAGATAGGCGGGATCCGCGGCGGAACACAGCTGCTGCAATCGTATATGCATATTCCATTTGCACTTTTTGCCCCACTTTCCCACTTTCCCATTTCCCCATTTGCGTTTTCGTTTCCATTTCATTTTCCTGCCTAATTATATGGCATTTTCATTTTGCCTTTTTGTTTCCTCGAACGCGGCACGCAAAAGTCTAATTTGTTAAGCAGCCGAGCACGAACAACAGCCGAACAAGAGCTTAATTTGTAGTTGAAAGCAAACGTTTGGCAGGATGACAATTTCAGTACACATTGTTTGACATTCGGTTTGGCTAACAAGCAATTAAGTCCCACAATGGACACGCAATTGATCGGCCTGTGGATAAGCCCGAAATATCAATTAATTAGGCCACGACTTTCCAAACATAGTCCAGACCATCCCAGATTTTTGAGCGACCGTGAAAGTATCTTTCATCGCATTTGGCTTCGATGAAAGTCTTTTTAGTTTTGTATTATTTTGTTTTCAAATATAATGAGGGATAGAAATAGTATTACAAATTAAACTTTAATTTAAACAAAACATTTAAAAGAAAGTAAATATATGCAATTAAACCCTATACATCAAAGGGATAATTAGCATTATGGCTTTAAGAACTCATATATTTTGCAAAACTTGAAAGCACACTCTTCCGTTTTTGGTCATTTTATAATTGCTTTTTAAAAGAAAACCTACCTTTGACTGATTAGTTTTTCATCCCGTTTTTTTTTTTTAAGTTTTCATTTTTTACTGCTTCTGTCCTTCGGAACATTAAAAATAGTTTATCAACCCGTAAAGCCATGTCGTAATTTAATCTGCCACAAAGCGTCCTGGAACGCCATCGCGGCACTGACATGGGCATGCGGTTGCAGCGGTGGGACTCCCGAGCACTTTTTAATTACTTTTCCAGAAAAATTCGCATGCTTCGCTAATTGCATGAACGGCTCTGTCTGTCTGCCTACTTTGTATCGCTATTAATTATCTGTTTCATAGTACTCGATTTCCATTTGTTCGCCGTTAATAAAGCCGTCGCCTTTCGTCAACAGAATCAAATATCTTGGATCCGTCGCCGGGACTGGCACATCCTCTCGTCGGGGGCCCAGCTCTACACGAACGACGAGCGCTTCGCGATTCTGCACACGCCCGGCTCCAACATGTGGACACTGCAGATAAAATTTGTGCAGCGCCGGGATCACGGCATGTACGAGTGCCAGGTGAGTGGGCGGCAACCCTTCGGAACGGGGGATGGGTGGAATGAGGGACGAGTGGGTGCGGTCGCCCCATGATGGCTCCATATTTTATGCATGCGTCGCAGTTGAAATAAACTAAAGTCGCATTTGCATACGCTCTCGTTTCGCCTCCTTGCATCCGTGTCCGTGCCCCGTGCCCCGTGCCCGTGCCGAGTACTCCGGGCGAGCTTTTTGCTCCTGCAGATTTCACGACACGTCGATTTGTTTTCCTGCACATGATTTAATTGTAAAATGCAAATCCAGTTTTGTATGCAAAGGTTCGATTTAAGGCACCTGCCCGCGGGCAGCTCGTCAGCTGTCGTCAGCAGCCGGTCCGAGTCCTGCCACACAGGGCAGTCCCAACGCAGTGCTCATGGGGGTTCGGCCGATGAGGCTGACAAGTCCGCCTCTGTGGCCACTGGCCAGCCAAAAACGTGTGACTGTCTGCCAGCAGGATGCAGCGGATATGGCCGGAACACGGGCCCGGATAGCCGGGACATTGACAAATTCAGGCCACTATTTCTGCCCGACGGAGTAATACGCAAGTAATTTCGAAAGTCATACGAATGCAAATATGGAAGGGGCGGGTTCCCGGTCCGGAAAGAAGGAAAACAGCTTAGGAGGGACCTGGATTCGGATACGGGGTAAGCCGGGGAAGGGAAGAAGACAAGAAGTAAAGACAACCAACCGAAATGCAACAAAGTTAGACACTGCTGAAATGAACACTTGACAGTAACTCTGTTTGCGCAGCAGCACAAGTGCCACTCGAGCTGCTTTGACTAGATGGATGGAGGAGAAAGGATGAGGGCTGAGGGTTTATGGCTGGTTCAGGGCCAACCAGGGAAGCGGGGAACAATTTCGGAAACGTAGCTTCAATTTCAAAATTGTTTGCATGCAATTTCAATATGAGAAGCCGCATGCCAGGGCAAACCAGTCAGTCAGTGAGTCAGGCTGAGTCAGTGGGTCATGGGATGTCCCCTCCGGACTCCGGACTCCGGACTGCGGACTCCGGTCTTTGGACTCCTATACCCGGAATACATACCGTCGACTACGGACTACGACTACCGACTACGGAGTGTAGTGGGGCGGAGCGGAAAACGAGAGCTGCATGCAAATATGCCGAAATGATTATTTTCCTCCTCCATTGCGGCAGCGGATTTGGAGAAGCTGCAGCAGCAACTGCTGCCTGCCGGATATTTTGGAGAAGAGGTCCGGGCCGGAACCAGTTGGGACGTGTAGAAAGCGCTCCACTTATATAGAAAGCATTCGTTTTTGTTTCATTTTTGCGTGCCAAATTGAAATTGTTTGATTTGCATTTCAATGAGTGCAACATTTCTTGCACTCGCAACGGCTCCTCGATCCGGGTGAGGCGGATGGGAGGGTGATTTCTGCTCGCAGTTTACTGAAGCATTAAGATTCGAGTTGATTACGAATACCAATCGCACTCAATTGCCGCACTTTCTCTTTCCACTTGCCGGCTTTCTCCCTTTCCCGGACACACTATCACGGAACCGACAACACCACCATCGACCAACACAAAGGTCTCGACACCGACTGGCATCATCTCGCACTTTGTGAATCTTCAAGTGGTTGTGCCGGAGGCCTTCATCCTGGGCTCCGGCGAGCTGCATGTCGACATGGGCTCAACAATCAATTTGGTTTGCATTATTGAGAAGGTGAGTTTGCGAAAGTTGAAGCAGGCAGCCCGCAGGCCCACTGAACCCCTTCAACCACCTCCCTCACAGAGTCCAACACCACCGCAGTACGTGTACTGGCAGAAGAACGATCGTCTGATCAACTACGTCGACTCCCGGCGGGACATCACCATCGAGACCACTCCGGGGCCACGCACACAGAGTCGCTTGATCATCCGGGAGCCCCAGATCACCGACTCCGGCAACTACACCTGCTCCGCCAGTAACACGGAGCCGGCGAGCATTTACGTCTTCGTCTCGAAAGGTAAGCGGTGCCAAAAGCCTTCCCAGAAGTACTTCCCAACTAGATAAAAACTACAAATTGATCATTCCGAGAAATAGCAAGTAAGAAAGCTGCTGTACATTCCTAAGCAGCCATGTTTGTCTGTCCGTTTTTAAACTAACTATGAATTCAGCTTTAAAGCTATCGAGATGGCACAGTACTTTAAGTTTTATACTTATATAGATTTATTATTAATATTTTCTTCGATTCAAACGAAACAATGTAACGTATTTTGTAGGTTAAATCATCGGGCACAGGGCAAGTTGAAAACGACATTGCTGTATAAAATACGTTTTACATAGCTTTAGTAGCATTATTTTTAGTCGATCCGTTAGATTCCACAACTGTTATATAATGGGTATGCGGTATTAAAAAAGTCGGCTGCCTTAAGTTGCCTCTATTTCCTGTCATTATGGCAGATTTTCCACTTATTTTAGCATTGAAATTACAATGATGATAAGACGGTTAAACGAAAGTATGCAAATGGCGCGGTGCCTGCAGCTTATTAAGGCGAAAATGAAGGTGGGAAAATGCAGAGCACGGTTGTTGGTGCACATAATTGCATTCGCCCGTCTGTCGCTAAACAAATTTCAGTTCTAATTCAAATTCAAATTTATCCCGCTGTCACTTGCAGGCGACAATATGGCGGCCATCTCGCGCCGGAAGACATCCTCGGCCGATCGCCTGACGCACATATTTAGGTCGATGCTGGCGCCCTGCCTCCTGCTGAACACGGTTGTCGTGAGGTGAGTGTCCCTAGAGCCAATCTGCAGCTACATGCAAATCCCAAGTCCCACCTCTGCTCTCCACCAGACGCATCTTCCTGACCTAAGCGGATGTACGGGCCAGCGGCGGCAGCCGGAGCGGAAGTCGGAAGCACGACGACAAAGAAATCCTATTTAAGCTATTCCAAGCGTTAGACCTAAACCTAAACCGAAACCGAGTTAATAACTGAGTAACCCCGAGTCTAGGATAATTGCTAAGCTAAGCCCAGCGAGAGCTGCGCACTCGAGTGTAAAAATCAAGTTAATCCAATCGCTGGCACATACATGTACATACATGTGTGTACCGTACGTATGCCAGGCATCTCTCGTACATCCAGACAAGTCTAGATAAGTCCTAGTTTAGTTGGCAACTCACTTCCCATTGATTGTGTACAGTATGTTTAGAGGGATTTTGTTATACATATGTGATTTGCGTTTACGAATAGCGCCGGATTACTTGCCCCGACTCCTCGGTTGCCGTACTCACTGTTATGATACGTACTGTAAGTTATGCTATGTATGTATGTATGTGTTCATGCTGCAATCCCAGTGAGCCGGCTTTCCCGGCGGAAATTTACTTCAGAATGCCTCGGTTCGAGCAGTTGAATGCGTTGCAGCCCTGAAACTTTTTCAGTGGAGGCGGAATTTGCATAAGTAGCCAATTTGAGTCCATTAAAAATGAGGTATATTATATAAAAAACACAAAACACGCATTAAAACGCCATATATAACTGTTACTAATTGCTAATTGAAAACTAAAAGTATAAAAAGGGCAGCCCAGAACACAGCAGTAGCGAGAATAAGAACGAGAACATCAACCCATATTAATTAATTATGTTATTAAGTTTGTAAATACATTTTATTGCAAATGGCATAGCACGCACACGCACACACCACACACACAACACACACAACACTCACCGCATGCAGAAAAAATTAATTTAAATTGTGTAAATAAAAACGGAAATCATACAGCTACACCACCAGCGACCACAAGGCATACAACCGACTGAAAATGCGCAATATATTGGCCAGGGCCAGCGGACGGGACGGAGATGGTGTGGCAAAGGAGGGGCGCTGAACGAATATGCGGATGCTTTATGGGCTTTGAAACTGTCAAAAACAAGCTGTAATTAATTGCAAAAACACACAAGGGAGCAGGAGGACTGGTCGCAAAGAAAGGGGTACAGGGTCGAGTGTAGGATAACGAAACTCCATCAATCAGCCCAATCAGAGAATTGAAAATTAATTACTTTACGGGCAAATAGCCGAAGCGATAAAGACACTGAAATCGCCGCAACGTACACGCTCCAATCTCCAACCTCCAATCCGTCCCGTCTTCGGCTACGGCACGGGCAGGAGTGTTTTTCGAGAACTTCATCCGCATCCTGCATCCTGTTCCTGCCCGTGCCCACGAGTTGCAAAACCCTCAATCAAGAAACAAACATCTACGTAACGAATTATGTACAACTTCTCGACTGTTCATACACTTTGGCTGCAGTCTTCACTTACGATAGAATACCACATAGGGGATCTCCTCGAATTCGAATTGATGTGTTGTCAGATTTAAGCCAGCATTAACTACCGCTCGTTCGTGGTCGGTACGTAATTACAAACATAAAACTGTTAAGGGATACCATTTGAAGTTTGAATAGATCCTTAGTGTGAACCCAGGGGACAACCCAGCGTAGCGTAATCATTGATACTGCAAAATAATAAAACTAACTATTGATAAACTAACGATACTAAAGCGATTTCACAGCCTCCTTGATGTGTTTGTATGTGTATGCGTATGCCCAAAGCCCGTTGGACAATTAACGAGTAATTTGACTCGGTCCAGAAGGAGCGAGTCGGATTCAGTTGGTTCTCACTGTTAAGCATTTCCACTGTAAATAATTTTTATTACCATATGTACATCGAGTGGCCGGTAATGGCCATTCGTTAATTAGTAAAAGTCACTGGCGAGAGCAGACGAAATTATTATAGGTATTGTACTCACGGCATGGACGAGGGACGTGGCAAAAGTAACCAACAAACAAAGTATAAATCCATTCAAATGTTTTCAATGTAAATGCTCCAGCGCATAACTGTACAATTTCAACTTGCAACAATTTGACGAATATGAATTTAATAATAGTAATTATATTAATAAACCCAACAAGGACTACATTGTGCTCGTACATACATACAAGAATGCGAAACGTCAGAATACCAAACGAGAAGTGCATGGTGTCCCAGGAATGCATTCAAATAAATCAAGTGATTATCATGGAAAATAAATGTAATTTAAATAATAACTAAAAGCTCCCTGCGTTTATCTATTTTTATACATTATGGGGAAGGGGAGTGGAGTGGGCAGATGGAAAATGCGATTCGGTAAGTAATCCTCAAGTGGTCCGTGGCTTTGCAATTGCCAATCACGCCTTGCAGTCGTCCAGCAAACTTCTCGCCAAACGACAAATCGATGGCCATTGTGAAGGCGGCACGTCAACACGCCATAATTGGACTCCATTGTTGGCCCAAAACACACACACCCGCGCGCAGTCGAATGCCTATTTGCTCAAGTCCTTTTTTTGGTTTTTTTTTGGTTTTTTTGAACGGCGCGCCAATTATTTTTCGACATTTTCCTTAAGACCGGCAGTTTACTTTCTGTCAACATTTCATTCAGAGGGCCTCGCCGCCGTTCATTTCGCCAGCGACCATGTTGCACTTGGGCACACTCCCTGCAACCTCTGCCTCCGCTTAAGTTCGCGAAAAGTTTGTCGAGTGTGTTTGTGAAATCAAATGCATTGAACGCTGCCACCAGACCCTAGAAGCAAACTTTTGTGGCCACCAAAGTTTTGGCAAATCAAATGAACCCCGGGTAAATTTGCCATGCACAAGTGCCAGCGCAGGCCAGGATCGACGGGGACGGGAGACGAGGACGGGGGACGGGGGACGGGGGAGGCTCAAAAGTAAAACATTGAACTGCAGAAGTAATGGAGAAATTTCAGCAAGAAATTATAGTGTACACACTGCGAGAGAGGTCCTGCCAGGCCACTTCAGGCGGGCCGAGTCGAAGCCGAAGCCGGATCCTTTCCGCACATTTCTCCAGCCAAATGGGCAAAATTGGCTGTTGACAGCTTCGAGCTGAGTGTGTCGAAGGCCTTCGACGTTTGTGAGATTGAAAACTTTGCCATTTTTATTTTCGATTTGCCGTTTTGATTAAAAAGTTTCGCACGAACCTCTAAGACTCGGGCCCCCGTGAGTGCCGCCTAATTTCAGCGCCAGCCTGCCACCTCCTTCGAAATTGAAATTGAGCAACCCAACCCAAACCCCAAACCCCAAACCCCAAGCACAGACCCCAATCACACGTGCAACGTTACACACACAGCCGCAGGCCACACGGTGACAGCTGTTAAGCCGGGCTCTTTCGGTGGCCTGTTTGCTTAAAAGCTCAGCCGTGACATCAATTTATGGTGAAGTTATAAAAATGTTGGATAATCGAATTTTCCAATGCATTAACTTTAATGACATGTCACAGCCCCCAGTTCGCCGCAGACTCTCCTGTTTAAACCTCTCCTGTTTCAGCCCCGTGCTGGAGCTGCAACGCTGGCAAACATATTTCACTAACGACTTTCTGAGTTCCTTAAAGTATACATTTGTACATACGAACAATCTTTGCTTGCAGGAGGAAAAATATTGTCAACGATGCGATATTATTTGCAATATTGCAATGGTCACTTTGGTAAAAAGAACATATCAATGTTTGTTCAATTTCATTCTTCTCTGTATACTATATACATATTTTATTCTCGGTACCCGTTGAGTATAGCTTAGTGCCAACCAAGAATGTATTCTACAGACAAGGAAAGGTGTCTCTGAACCCGTAAAATACTTATAAAATTGCAAGGAATCACCAGCCGAGTCGATTTGGACATTTCCCGCTGTCCGTCTGTATAGAAGAACTGAACTCAGAGACTATACGAGCGGTAGCACCTTTATGACAACTTTTATACTTGTTAAGAGCAGATCGAGTTTGTTTTAAATTTCCGCACGTTTCCGCCTTCAAAAATCCCGAAATATTATCTATCTATCTTACATGAATTTGGGCTTAAAGTAAATATTGTTAAAGAATAATTTGTTGCGGTCGTCTCCTAATTTGAGTAAAATCAGATAATAAACATGGAAGTTATTACACAATAAAGCTGGAATTTTATTACAGGCCCTAAACGCGTTCGGTAGCTTCCATCGCACGGTCGAGTACAATCCTCTGTATGTTCTTTACTTGATTTATAGACAATTTATTTTGTGGACTGAAAGCCATATGAGGCGAAACCATCCTGTATACTTTTTTAATAAGCAAACTTCAAAGGAAACTATTATGGTCAATTTTAAATCAGGTACGATCACTTTAACGCGTAATATCGGAATGGAATTTTGAAAAAATTAACATATAAATATATATATAATATAAATATATAAATATTTATACATATATCTCAGATAAAAAGCTCATACAACAATAGGGAAATTAAGTATACAGGAAAGACGACTAACTTCGAGGTTTCGAAACTCCCAAGAAGACATTGAATCAGTGAAAATCGATTAGAATTACAGTTTTCCATTATCCAACTGCAACTAAATGACCCAATTTTTTATTGCTAATACATTTATAAATTGTAGAGCTACAAAACCAATTTACGTACTTTAAAGGTATCATTTTTTAATTTTGATTTTGATATAGTTGTCCATATTAGCTCGTTTTGACTTATTTATTTATAAAATTAATGAGATTACGATCTGCAATACTTTATTGGATCCGAAATGAATCTTTCATTGCGTTCTAGCTAAAATTGTAATACCCTGGAAGGGTACAAAAATTGTGCATAGCCTAATTTAAAAAAAAGTTAATCTGAATGCAATGCAAATACGGAGTCCTGATCCATTGTAGGTGCCATAAAACATTCGAATAATTAAGATAAAAATAAAATGAAAAATGACAAAAGTTCTTCATTTGAATATAAAATTCGCATATTACCTGAGGTGAAGTTATTATTGAAAACTTTATAAAGGTATTTTTTATCAAGTCAGTCAAGTCAAATCGGTCAATTTACATGAGAAGCTAAGAAAACAGAAACACTCTTTTAATTTATTTCCGAATCGAGTTCGAATCAAAATATGCATTAAGCGCATATAAAGCAATAGATTTATATATGTTATTTGATTCTCTGGATTTGTAATTCATTAGGGGGAAAAAGGTCACTTTAAGAGTCAGTGGCTTCGTCAAAGGCAAAGCCACATCAATCACAGTTAAAAGGGCGAGAGCACACACAATAAATTTGCAAATAACTTGCAATAACTGTAATCAACACACTTGCCGATCCCACGCGGCGAGAGCAAACAAATGAAACACCGAACAGAACGCAAAACAATCATTCAAATTGCGCATACGCTCTGTGGTCACAAGGTGCAACCTGGTGTGCACACACAGCACTCGAGCGCTCCTCCTCCTCCTCCTTCTGCTTCTGCCTCTGCCTCTGCCTGCGTCGTGCAGGCATTAAGCTGTCATGTTTTCCGCTGATGTTAGAAATTATTGTGCATTTGTGTAAATCCGTGCCACCCGAGCGTGCTTTTCTCGCTGCGCCCTGCATTTGCCCGTGCCCGTGCCCGTGCCCGTTGTAATTGATTGGAAAGCACCGGGACTAAGCTCGGTTCGATTCAGCACAGATCCGCTCAGCTAAGCCCGGCCCGCTCACGCTCTGCCCTTGGCCTGCCACGAGTCCTTCCGTCGGCATTCGTATCTGTATCTGTCTCCTGCGCTGCGTCTTGTCTGAACCCACGGCCGACCCGCACCGCTCCGTGCCCTCGGCAATTGTTTAAAAGCTTT